TGCGGTATAGATATGGTAATATGTGGGAGGTACTAGTAAATGGATGTGCTTAGTAAGAATATTGGTGTGAAGGTTTGTGATTCCCGAAGCATGCACGTATAGTCTCATTATGCTATGAAATTGGAGCATGATTTATTATTGATTGTCTTCCTTATGAGTGGCGGCCGGGGACGAGCGATGGTCTTTTCCCACCAATCTATCCCCCTAGGGGCATGCGTAGTAGTACTTTGCTTCGAGGGCTAATAAACTCTTGCAATAAGTATATGAATTCTTTATGACTAATGTGAGTCCATGGATTGACTAAATATGTAGTCACTTTCATATACTAGTGGGAATTTTTCATTATAGAACTTGGCTTGTATATTCTAATGATGGGCTTCCTCAAATGCCCGAGGTCTTCATGAGCAAGCAAGTTGGATGCACACCCACTTAGTTTTCATATTAAGCTTTCGTACACTTATAGCTCTTAGTACATCCATTGCATGGCAATCGCTTGTTGATTAGACGCGTTCATGTGAGACTTTCTTACCTTTTTTTCTTCTCAATATTTACCCCTATCATCATACTCTATTCCACCCATAGTGCTATATCCATGGCTTGTGCTCATGTATTGCGTGAGGATTGAAAAAGCTGAAGCGCGTTAAAAAGTATGAACCAATTGCTTGGCTTGTCATCGGGGTTGTGCATGATAAATACTTTGTGTTAAGAAGACAGAGCATGACAAGACTATATGATTTTGTAGGGATAACTTTCTTTAGCGTTGATATTTTGAAAGACACGATTGTTTGTTGGGATGCCTGAGTATGGATGTCTTTATGTCAAATTATAGACTATTGCTTTGAATCACTTGTGTCTTAATATTCATGCCATGATTAGATATATGATCAAGTTTATGCTAGGTAGCATTCCGCATCAATTTTTTTATCATTTAACTACTCAGGACGAGCAGGAATTAAGCTTGGCGATGTTGATACGTCACCGTTGTATCTATAATTTTTGAATTTTTTTCATGCCAATATTATACAACTTTTATACACTTTTTGCAACATTTTATATGATTTATTTGGACTAACATATTGATCCAGTGCCCAGTGCCAATTCTTGTTCGTTGCATATTTTCTGTTTCACAGAAAATCCATATCAAACAAAGTCCAAACGCGATAAAATTTACGGAGAATTATTTTGGAATATATGTGATTTTTGGGACTTGGAATCAATGCAAACGGGGGACCACAGTGACCATAACGGTGCACCGGGCACCCCCTGGCGTGCCCAGCTTTCTTATGCCCTCCTTGAAAATCGGTTGGGGCCCTTCTTCTGGCGCAAGAAAGATAATTTATGGAAAATCATGTAAAAAATTCAGCCAATCAGAGTTACGGATCTCCGGGAATTTAAGAAATCGTGAAGGGCCAGATCTGGGGAACGCGAAACAGAAGAGAACAGAGAGGGAGATCCAATCTCGGAGGGGCTCACGCCCCTCCGCCGCCATGGAGGCCTTGGACTAGAGGGGGAACTCTCCTCCCATCTAGGGGGGAAGGCAAGGAAGAAAAAGGAGGGGGCTCTCTCCCCCTCTCTCCTAGTGGCGCCAGAGTGTCGACGGGGCTAGGATCGTGACGACGATCTACACCAACAATCTTGCTACCGTCAACACCAACTCTCTACCCCTCTATGCAGCGGTGCAACACCCCTTCTCCTCGTTGGAATCTCTAATTAAACATGGTGCTCAACTCCATATATTATTTCCCAATGATCTATGATTATCCTACGATGTTTGAGTAGATCTGTTTTGTCCTATGGGTTAATCGTGATCTTGGTTGGTATGATTGTATATTTTATTTATGGTGCTTTCCTACGGTGTCCTCTGTGTCGCGCAAACGGAGGGGGGCCCACTATAGGGTGTTGCAATATGTTCATGGTTTGCTTATTGTCGGTGTTGCGGTGGTGACAGCAGCCTAAACGCGGATAAGTGGGTTATGGCGTATGGGAGTAAAGAGGACTTGATACTTGATGCTATGGTTGGGTTTCACGACCTTAATGATCTTTAGTAGTTGCAAATGCTTGCTAGGGGTCCAATCGTAAGTGCATATGATCCAAGTAGAGAAAGTATGTTAGCTCATGCCTCTCCCTCATATAAAATTACTAGAATGATTACCGGTACTTGTTATCGAATGCCTAGGGACAAATGACTTTCCTGTTGACAAAGGCTATCCACTTTTATTACCTTTCAATTTATTCTTCGTTTCATTCTCGTAAAGTACTCTTAGTTTTATTCTTGCAAAATAGTTTCATACTTGTTTTAGGTAAAGCAAACATCAAGTGTGCATAGAGTTGTATCGGTGGTCGATAGAACTTGAGGGAATATTTGTTCTATCTTTAGCTCCTCATTGAGTTCGACACTTATTTATCGAAGAAGGCTACAAATGATCCCCTATACTTGTGGGTTATCAGTGGTCTCACCTTATCTCTTGGCATAGATTCTAACAGTGTTGAATCAGCAGAATCAGTTCATGGAGCTATCAATCTGCAACTGTTTGGAGATCTGTTAGTTCCACCTATCTCACCAGTTCATCATCCTGAAGTGGTGCAGCTTCCTTTTGATCTTAATATGCCTCTAGAAGCAATGATGCAGCCTCTGCAACAAGAGTTGGTTCCCATAGTGCAACAAGATGAGGAAGCTTTGCAGTAAGAGCAAGTCCCACTACATAATGTTGCAGCTGATACTCAGCTGCCACAACAGAACGATGTTACAAGTGCTTCTCAGTTGCCTGTTACAAGTCAAGTGCCAGAGATAGCCTTGCAAGTGCTTCCATCCATTGCCACTCAGAATCATCCTAACAATCTGCCAGATAGTCAAGTCATATTGGGCCTGACTGAAGCTCATGCCAATAGCACTCTACAACAACAGACTATTGTGGCTGCAGATGAGAGCCAAGGAGCTACAGTACACAATTTGGAAGCTGTTGTGGTATCTGTTCCAGATAACTCAAATAATTTTGCTCCGCACAAGGAGTTTCCTAGCCCGGATTCAGGTACTTCTACTCCTCCTCCTGGATTTCCTTTACCTATATATAAAGATACAATCCATGTGGGAGACTGCCAACTATTGCCTGATGCTACAAATCCAGTCATGTAGAAGATGTTTCTACCACAAGCTCAGGAGGACTTTGATGCTGTTTGCACTGGCAATGAGGAAGCAGGCCTTTGGAAGAAGCATTTTTCTCTAGTGAGCCAGCCAGAGGAGGTGATTCAGGTACCTAATGAGTGGGCAAATTTCATAGCCCTTGCTTTATTATCTCCTGAAAGATTTGAGTGGGCCAAACAGCTACTTGCTTCACAATTATGGAAGATTATTTCTGCACAATTAGATAGCTCTAATTTAATACCTTTTGTGGTTCCTGATAAATGTGACTCTGTTCAACTACCTCTTTGTCAGAACCAAATGGGCAATGATACACAACCTTCATCTCTTAAAACCACCCCACCTTCCTGCTACCTCTTGAGCTTGCGTTGGTTTTTCCTTGAAGAGGAAAGGGTGATGCAGCAAAGTAGCGTAAGTATTTCCCTCAGTTTTGAGAACCAAGGTATCAATCCAGTAGGAGACAATGCACAAGTCATCGAATACCTTCACAAACAATCAACAACTTGCACCCAACGCAATAAAAGGGGTTGTCAATCCCTTCATGGTCACTTGCAAAAGTGAGATCTGATATACATAAATAAACGGTAAAGTAAATATTTTTGATATTTTTGGTTTATAGACCGAAAACTAGTAAGATGGAAAAGAGATTCGATATAATGGAAAAGAGACCCGGGGGCCATAGGTTTCACTAGTGGCTTCTCTCAAGATAGCAAATATTACAGTGGGTGAACAAATTACTGCCGAGCAATTGATAGAAGCGCATAGTTATGACGATATCTAAGGCAATGATCATGAACATAGGCATCACTGATACATCTCCAATGTCTCTATAATTTTTGATTGTTCCATGGTATTATATTATCTGTTCTGGATGTTTAATAGGCACTTATATGCTATATTATTTTTAGGACTAACCTATTAACCGAGGGCCCAGTGCCAGTTTCGTTTTTTTTGCCTATTTTAGAGTTTCGCAGAAAATGAGTATCAAACGAAGTCCAAATGGAATGAAACATTCGCGATGATCTTTCTTGGACCGAAAGCAAACCAGAAGACTTGGAGATGAAGTCGGAGATGCAACGAGGTGTCCACGAGGCAGGAGGGCGCACCCCCATCCTCATGGGCTCCTCGTAGCTCCGCTGACCTAGTTCCTTTGCCTATATGTACTCTTATACCCTGAAAATATTCAGGGGAGCCACGAAACCACTTTTTCACCGCCGCAACCTTCTGTACCCGTGAGAACCCATCTAGGGACCTTTTCCGGCGTCCTACCAGAGGGGGATTCGATCACGGAGGGCTTCTACATCAACACTATTACCTCTCTGATGAAGCGTGAGTAGTTTACCACAGACCTTCGGGTCCATAGTTATTACCTAGATGGCTTCTTCTCTCTCTTTGGTTCTCAATACCATGTTCTCCTCGATGTTCTTGGAGATCTATTCGATGTAATATTCTTTTGCGATGTGTTTGCCGAGATATGATGAATTATGGATTTATGATCAGATTATCTATGAATATTATTTGGTTCTTCTCTAAATTCTTATATGCATGATTTGATATCTTTGCAAGTTTATTTGAATTATCGGTTTAGTTTGACCTACTAAATTGATTTTTTTTTTCAATGAGAGAAGTGTTTAGCTTTGGATTCAATTTTGTAGTGTCTTTTTTAATGACAGTAGGGACAGCAAGACACGTATTGTATTGTTGTCATGGAGGATAAAAAGACGGAGTTTTCGTACTAGTGAATTTTGGTTGCATTTGGTCATCTGCGAGTTCGCGAGCACGATAGCGCTCCCCGATTGAAACCATTTCAGTCCGCCAGCCAACCAGCAGCAACTTGCCGGCCGCCGCCGCCGCCGCCGCCATGCTCCAGCTCCAGATGCACCCTCTCCCGCTGCCCCGCGCAGCCCCCCACCCTACCACGGCCACGCTCTCCTACTCTCTCCACCGCCGCCTCGCTCTCTCCGCCTCCGCCTCCGCCTCCACCACCCCATTCTCAACCGAGGAGTACCTCATCGCCACCTGCGGTCTCACCCGAGCCCAGGCGCTCAAGGCGTCCAAGAAGCTCCGCCACCTCAAGTCCGCCTCCAACCCAGACGCCGTGCTCGCCCTCCTCTCCGGCGTCGGCCTCTCCCGCCCGGACATCGCCGCCGTCGTCGCCGCGGACCCGCTGCTCCTCCGCTCCAGGGTGGACAACGTCGGCCCCCGCCTCACGGCCCTCCGCGACCGCCTCGGCCTCTCCGAGCCCGAGATCGCCAGCTTCCTCCTGGTGGGCGCCACGGCCCTCCGGTCATGCGACATCACGCCCAAGCTCGAGTTCTGGATCCCCTTCTTCGGCTCCTTCAGCAAGCTCCTCCAGACCATGAAGAGGAACAGGTCCATCCTGACCACCGATCTGGAGAAGGTGGCCAAGCCCAACATAGCGCTGCTGGAGCAGTGCGGGCTAAGTGTTTGTGATATTGTCAAGCTGTCGACGCCCTGTTCTAGGCTGCTAGTGTTCAACCCAGAGCGGGTGAAGGCGTTTGTGCTGCGCGCCGAGAAGCTTGGCGTGCCCCGCTCCTCGTATATATTCAAGTACGCGGTGGCTGTCGCGTGTTCTATCACGGAAGACAAGGTCGCCGCGAGGATGGAGTTCTTGAGGAGCACTCTTGGTTGCTCCATGGACAAGGTGCGTGTTGCGGTTCGGAACAAGCCGCACATTCTAGGAATATCAGAGGATAAACTCCGTCTCAAGATAGAGTTCATGGTCAATGAGGTTGGTTTGGACCCAGAGTACATTGTCAAGAGACCCATGCTGTTTACCTACAGCCTGGAGAAGCGGATGAAACCCCGGTATTATGTCGCAAAGATCCTGCAGGCTAAGGGACTGATGAAGAAAAGTGTCGGCTTCCGGCGATTAGTTGGCTATGGTGAGGATAACTTCATTGCAACATACATCGACAGTCATAAGGACACTGTTCCTGGGCTTGTAGATGCTTATGCAGCAGCTCGTGCTGGGGAGATGCTTCTGATGTCCAGCTTTGAATGCAGACATTGAAGGTTCATCATATATCTTAGGCTCATAGCTAGCATGGAACATTGTGCCCTGATACACATTAGTGAGTACTCATTCGTGGTAATGCCTTTTCAAAGCATGATTGTAGCTCAAGAAATCATGATTTTAGCCGCAGAACTATGGCAATCTGATTGCTCGTGATGCTATCTATGTTTCAGTTGTGAATTTCTGTGAAGCAACTTGATTGTCTCAGTTTTGCTGCCCTACAACTAATGTATCATAGCTTCCTGTAATTGAGAAAGTGATGTTTTCGCAGCTACATATTCGCTCCCTTGTGCCTTAGACATCCTGTTGCAGCTTTCAGGTTTCAACTGACTTTTGTGTTTGTTTATAGGGGTATTAAGTTCACATTTCTGTTGCATAGTCAAATCATTTTTGGCTAAATATGCACGTTTGTTATTGTATTTCAAATGGAGCGGAGGGAGTATTAAATTTTGATTTTGATGAAATGGACAAATTCACCTGAGAAATGGAACTTTGCATCAAAACTCATGTTTCTTTTATGTATAGTTAATCGTTAAACAACAATCCAAAAACTATCTTGTTAAAAGACTGATGTGGTGATAGAATTTTCAAAGGTTTGGATCTCATAGGTGCCGATGTTCATGTTGACAATGACCTCGGACTGGTCGCCAAAACGGTACATTTTTTCATGTAAAATGGAGCATACCCTGTCAAGTCTGGCAACTTCAATCACCAGCGCAGTATTTCGTTTATTTTGGACCAACGTAAACCCACAGGTACAAATCACCCGAATTCAACCAATCAAACAGGGCATGTGAACGATATGGATAACTTTGTGGGAAAAAAAACATGTTCAAATTCTATTGCTTTTGACCACACTTGCCCCGTTGAAGTAATCAAATGGTTTCACCATTTATTTACTCATTTTTTGTATCTCTTAGCTACATTAAATTTTCCCCAGGAAACTTGAACGAAAAAACTTTGCAAATTCTATCATTAAATTCTCACCATTTTATTTTCTTTGCACATAATTGAGTACACCTAAATCGCTGTACTTGGTATGACGGTAGGGCAAAAGTGAAACAACCTAAATCGCTAGCCTAAATTCAGAAGGAACTGCTGGCAGCCAACTTATACACTCTGAAATCATCATACCACGTTGAATTTGCAAAGGTTTTTTCGAGGGAGGCATGCTTAAGGCAACCAAGCAAAAACAATCTGTTCGCATCCAATCAGCATAGCCCACAAGGCAAATAAATTGTCCGCAAGGCGTGGATAAGCATCACCAAAGTTTACTTGCCAGAGAGTACAATATGACACAAGTTTTGAGTACTAGATCCATGAACCATCTAAACAAAACTCACAAGTCCAACATAGAAATCAGTTTAGCTCGGATACTGAGTACAGGAAATAAGCGTATGCCAACTGAACGCAAGTCACATAAGAAATTGTACGGTTCGTTTATAAAGCCAGGCAAGCGCCTCTTTTCTAAAAAAAAGTTGAAGGGGACATTGAGAAGAGCGACGGTATCGGCAATGGTATCTGCCTCTCTAGTCCATCTAAATCATGATCGACTCTATCATGGTTCAACCTCAATGCGAAAGGGCGACATGGACATGATTCTTATCCATGATCTATCAATCTCCAGACAACGCCTCATATTGGCAGCAAGCCAGAATAGATACGAAAGGGGTCATCGTTAACTTCCATATGAAGCAGCTAACTCCATCGCCTAAAAACAGACACTAAGACACCCTTGAATTCAAACCTTCTCCAACTCAAAAGAAGAAAATCAACCCTTCTCAGTTTGATTTCAACGTCCAGGAGAGTGAGAACCAGTCAAAGCAAAGAGACAGTTCTTGGAAAGGAATAACAAATCAACAGTCACCTGAACAACATATATCCAAAAGGCCGGATCAGAGTACTCCAAATGGCGCACGGTACATTGAATTAAAGTGTGATCCATCTGCCAAGTGATGACTAATGACTAACACGAAGAAGGATATCTGCCGTTTCCACTCCACACAATCAAGCAACTGGCATGATTCACCGCAGTCAGGCAACTGGCGTACACAAAAAGAAGGAAAATCGAGACACAGAAGGTTAGAATTAATTTCATGTGACAACATTAACCACTGGTGCAGGAAGAAAACATACCACCGATCAATACGGCCCCATGGTGGACCAGGTCACTGTAACCTCAGCTTTGAACTTATCACCGATCGAGACTTTACCACTGTCAAATGAACATTTCTGTGAAATGAATGTGAGGAAGCGGGAATATGTCTTTGGTTCCGCCTCTCCATCCATCACAACATCAGGCCTTTGGTATTGCGCCGACGCTGCCTTCTGGGGCACGAACCTCCTCGCACACCCCTTGGGCACAATATCCTTGGAGGTGATGTCAAATTTAAGCTTTAGCTCATGACCCAATTGAACAGCAACAACTGATGATATAGGGAACACTGATTGTGTAGGAGAGGAATTAGTAGACCCATCATACAGCACAATTGCATCTGAGAGTCCACTTGTAAAAGCAGTCACTGCCTTCAGGCCCCAAGCTGGACTAGCCATTGGAATCTCAATGTCAATTGTTGCTTCAATGCCCTGCCTAAGGAAAGCATAATGGAAGTCAACAGGGCCAAGCTTGCCAAAAAGCCTCGACTTCAGTGTAGTACCACGCAGAATCATATGATCTGTGTATTCAATGCAACCATCAGCTAATACATAATCCATCTCAGCGTTGTCACTGCCATTAGACTTGACCTTCAGGCTGTACTCAAGAACAACACCATCAAGAATAGAGTTCCCACGAACAGGAGATATGAGCGGCAATGCCCGGGAATCCTATTTTAAGTACAAAAGAAATGCTCAATCAATGGTAATGTTTTGAACGACAGAAAGATAATGTCAGTAGGAATCATGGCATCTTAAATTTCAAGTACTGTTACACCCAATTCATTACTTTATAATGACATGTTGCGTTGAGGTGTTGCCGGTCAACACATTTCCTGCTCCTTGCACATATATAAAGTCTGAAGTGTATAAGTACATGATGCATCCTCATAGATTACAGGATAGCAGACTATCATCTGAAGTATATAAGTATGTAATGCACTTGCTAAGAATTTATAAAATAACTTGAATGATATGCACATAATTTAATAATATCATATCTTAGTTTCATTACCGTTCAATGCTCTTAATATGCACATAACAAATCAAGATACCTTGACTGCATTGGTTGTACAATTCTTCATTACATACACCAGTTTTAATTCTAGGCAGGCTCTTCTAAGCTGCATTATTCTAACAAGATTAAAAAAATTGAGACAAACTAGGACTAGCCCTTGGCAGCATATTTTTATAGAAGAAATGACCTGAGCGCCCCGCAGAGTCTGAAACTCGAAACACTCTGTTCTAATTATACTAACAAGATCATGTTACCATTTGAAGAGACAACTTAAAAGAAATGATTATATTTTACTCAGAGCACATTAACTGACCGGTGTAATCTCGTGCGCCTGCTCTCTAGTACAGTTGAAGATGTAATTGCGCAGACAATCCAACTCATCCCGGATAGCAATGAATCCATATACTAGCATGCTCTGATCACCCAGGAAGTCGCCAACATATCTGAATGAGAATATTTGGAGCATAGTCAATACCGGGTAGTCTTTTCTTGGCGCTGTGAATCGTTTGCTTGTAAGGGGAGCTGAAAGAAGTACAGAAAAAAAAAACATCAGTACAGTAGTGTATATAGATGCTTAATTGAAGATGATAATGATAGAAATTTCACTTGGATTGGTGTTGTCCAATGCATAGAGTCGGTAGTACGTGAAAAAGGAAGCTGGTTCTGGACATCGAGGTTGAATAGAAACAGTGAAGAACTGATCCTTCTCAGGAAGGGTTGCATTTAGCTCATCGATCTTCTTCCAATACTCTCTGATTTCTTCCATATACTTGTCTAGATTTTTCATAGCTGGCTCTGAGGTCAATAAGAAGAGGCCATCAGTTCATCATGTGAACAGAAAAAACATGTTGGAACTGAAACCAGCAAATAGGAGAAAGAACTGCAAAGCATGCAAATTCTGAAAACCATAGACTTAATAAATGCTACTCCCTCCGGTCCATATTAATCGTCGCTGATTTAGTATTAAAAAATTGAAAAAACCCTGCACCCAGGGCTGATATATTAGCGCTGCTATTAAGAACTCTCAGATATTAGCGCTGTTCCTAAGGAACTCTCAGATATTAGCGCTACCCCTAAGAACTCTCGCAGATATATCCTGGAAACAGGTTTATATATAAAGCAACGACCCTCTCGCAGACATATTACCCTGCCATTAATAAGAAGAATCAAACAAATAGCAAAGCATATTTTGAGAATTCAATTCTAGTTTACATCCAATTGAAGAAAAAATTGCAGCTTAAACATAAGTAAGGAATCATACGAGCGAGCGGACAAGCAATTGGTACAAAACGAGGATATGGATGGCCAGAGGTTACCAATAAGGGCCCTCTGTTCGGGGTTCACCACCAACGGACAAGGCCGTTCAGCCAGAGCGAGCCTCGTCTCCCATGGTACCTCCGAAAGGTCTGGTTGGTCCAGGTTAACATCGGACACCTCCAGAGGCATGGCCGAATCGAAGCGACGCTCGCCGTCCGGAGGCTGGGGTCGGTGGCGGAGGTCGAGGGCGTAAGTCGGAGCGACGAGCGTCTCTGTCTGTGTGCGGGCGGCGGCTGGGGAAGCCCTAGGGAAGGGGAGAAGGAAAAATGTGGAAGAGCTCGAGGAAATTTCGATCGATCGATGCCCTCACGGGAGAGACACTCTGTGGAAGGGGAATTCGCTTCTCTCTGTTTTTTTTTTTAGAGAGAGAGTCTCTCTTTTTTTCTTTTTTCTTTTTTGAGCAAAAAGAGTCTCTCTTTTCTTGAGCGAAGGGGAATTCGCAAACCGGGTCCGGGTCCGAGGCGCTACACGGCCCGATTAGGAGAGGGGAAGCTTGGTTGCTCAAAAA